TGGTAGAATTGCCTTGTATCTCTAAGGACACAAATTAAAAAATGTTTGCGTTTTCGTAGTGTACATCACTTTACAGAGTAGCACATAGTTCCTTTCACATGTAGGTGGTGGACTGTCATCGTCTTCTTAAGGCCAAGGTTTGTTAGTGCTAAATTTCTGTTTGTATTTACTAAAAAGAGCCATTAATACACCTACATATGTCTGTTTGCAATGGTTGCTGAATATAAAAAGAGGACCTGGAAATAGGAACAGAGTATTTTAAATAGATTCTCATTTATTCTCACTTTTCATGTTAAGGGCAGTGAGTCAGGAAGGATGTGGTAGAACTTATTAGCTCATCCCTTTCAAAAAGTTTATTTTTCTAAGATAAGGCCTAATCCTTTCCTCCGGAGATCATAGCTGACTTTGTCAGAAGTTTTTTGTGCTTTTTGTAGTGATATTCACACTTGCTCTATTTCTCTTGTTCCATTTGAACAGGAGCTTAATGCGTGTTTGTCTCTAATAACCTGGGCGAAATCATTCTACTTCTGTTGTCCACTGTGGTGTTTGATAGTTACTTAATGACAGCTGTTATCCCTCTGGTACAAGTCACTTAATCCTATTTAAATTATTAATAGAAAATTGAAGAGTAGCTAGAAAAATATTTGTGAAGTGTATAAATCACCTTTTTAAAAATAGCTCTTTCTTTGAGGAAGGTGGGCAGCAAGACAAAATTTATTGCTATGAATAGATACAAAAGTAATTTCAACATTTATTTCAAGAAATATTGTGCAATAGTAGTCTCATCATGCTTTTTCGTCTTGGCAGGATAACACTGTGTCAGCAGATGACCCTCCCTGTATTACCAAGTTTGCAGCATATCTGGAAATAGATCTTATTTTTACTTAGGCGTTAAACTACAGTTGGGAAAAACATTCCCAAAGGTTTTAAGCTTAATAATAAGGAACAGCAGTGTTTGACATTTTAAATCATACATTCTTTCTTTCTTTAAAAAAAAAAATTAATACATGGGAATAATGTGACAAAAGCCAGGCCTGTAGCTGGATCACTACACCTAAAAATTATTTCATCAACAAGGATTAGCTGGAAAAACAGTAATCATAGTTACTTGTAAAAATGATCTGTGGTAGCTAGACTTTCAATACTTCTCTGTTTCTTGTTGTCTGTTAGTCAGATGGTTCAAAAACACAATACCCTTCTTCAGGCTCAAAGGAGATTTTGGTTATATTTCTCTCTCACTTTGTTAATACATTCCCGTGTTTCTGCCTTAAGCTCTGTTCATTTCTCCAAACTCCAGCCCTACTTGCCTTCTCCATTCTCCAGCTGTATGGTTATTCAGCACTGCCATATTCAGTCATTTGTGTCTGAGACACACACCTCCATCTCCCCAATGCATATTTTTTTCCAAAGAATCTAAGACACAAAATTATATTGGGGACCTGAGCAGCAAAACAAGAACCTAAGGTTTAAACAGCACTTTTAATTTTTGCATGTTTCAAGGACTGGTGGCATGAATCATACTGCTAAGCTGAGCCGAACAATTATGAAAATCTATTTTGCTGAAGAATTAATGTTTCCCCCTACTTCCCAAACACTTAATCAAAGACAAAAGAGTTTTCCTTCCTTTCCTTCTTGTTTAGTCTCTTATCTGAGCTGTTTTCCTATCCCTTTATTTCCTCTGTTCCATTTCATTTGTCTGTGCTGGTTTTCCTCCTCACATCTTTAGATCACCACTCAAGTATTTTCAGTAGAACTCAGACTGACTTTCAGTATTACAAAGAAAGTAATTTTTTTAAGTGGCAGAATGAAACTTTGAAGTAAATTCTACTTGGAATCTTCAGGATAAAGACACAAGGTAAGGGTGCTTTTTGAATTCAGGGTTGTGTAGAATAGAGATTAAATAAATGGAACAGGATGAAGATGAATGGTAATGCTAGGTTGAGCCAGGTTGCTTGGCAAGCTTGTCTTTCATTTGTCCAACCTATGATGTAACTCATATGAAAGTGTCAGATATCGTTATCCTTCAGGCTTTTTACATAGCTTAAAATATTTTTAATCTAGAAATTGCATATATACCATTAGGTAGTATATGAAGCCTCTAAAACAAGTACTTTAAAAATAATATATTTGAAGACTGCAGTGTCATTAAATATCAGTAATTCCAGATGTCAGAAGTGATGGGTAGATTAAAGCTCTAAAGATTGTTACAGTTGCACAAAATGTCAATACAGGGGCAGATGTGTGTGATAATGGCGGGGGGGGT